TCCCCCCCCTTCCCTTCTCCTCTTCTCCGTACTCACTCACCTACGTGTCGTCCTCAACCCCATCCCCATCCCATCCTCATCCTCGCGTCTAGTGGTCTCCGCCTCTGACGGCTGGGAGTCTGTGGCTGAGATGTTAGAGAATCGGGTGCTGGATGATCGATCGTACAGAGAGCGGACGGGTTTGTATCCTTACGGGTCGTACACTGTTCGAGGAGTGCTGGGCGATTGTTCTCGCTTTGAGCTCTCCTACACGCGCATGCACGTTGATGGTGTCGAGTTCCGCGATGTACTGGTGTGCTCGCTGCCCGAGACGGATGCCGACAGCAACGACGAGAGTCGTCCCACCGCGCTGCTTTTGGTGTTGGAGGCGAGCACAAACGCTGCGGTGCCGCCGTCTCCGTCGACTAACCCGTCGCTTGCGCTGCTGCAAGCAACGGCCGCGGTCCATCGGGCGTCCCAGCAACTGGTCGACAGCGCCGACGACGACGAGCAGGCGGCGCTACCGGCGGCACCGGGAGCGCTTGCTAGCACTGCCGTTTATCGCCAGCTTGTCTTTGAATCAACTGCCGAGTGTGTCATGTCGTACATGGCTGGCGGCACGCCTGACGACCTGGGTATTCTCCTCCGCGGCATCAACTCTTACTTTCGCCACTCGGACCAGACGCTGGTTGACATTGCGCGTGAAGTTTCGGCGCTCGATCCCGACGCAGGCAATGAGACCGACCCAGCTCTCGACCCGGACCTCGAGGACTTTGTGCTCGTTGACCCAGCCGGCGGTGACGATGGGCTCGCCCATCTCGCCACGGCTGCGTTTGACCTTGGCTCGCTCCCACAGGCGGTGAGCAAGATGATGGAGCTCTCGGCGCCGGCCGAGCTCGGCGACGCCGGGCGGGCGCCGCTCAACGTCTACACCGCGCTCCGCAAGGGCCCGCTCGGCGTTCTGCTCGGCGCCCTGCCGTTCCGCCAGTTCAAGGTCCTCCTCATGCGGTTTGTCATTTCAAAGATCTCGCTCGAATCGCCGTCGTTTGACGCGCAGACCTTTGCGCATGACCAGATGACGGTCCGACAGGCCTTTGCCCTCCTCGAAGTGCTGCGACTGTATGCACCCGAGTGGCAGTTTGCGCTCCTCAAATCGATTCTCTACACAGTCGGAGTGGTGCTCAAGCCGCTGCCGCCGGCAGTGTTGGCCTCCTCTCCGGGCCGTGCGCTCTTCCGCCTTGAGCAGCTCGACATTACTGCCGTCACGATATCGACCTCGCTCCTCTTTAAGCACTACCACCTCGGGGTCATCTTGCTCTCGCGGATCCGCCTCGAGTCGGCTGCGCTCCGCGCCGCCATTGGCGAGCCCGAAGAGGACCTTGTTGCGCGAGTCGCTGACGACTCGCCGCTCTTTTCTCTCCTTTACCGCCACGTCTACCGACCGTACCTCGTCGACGGCTCGACCAAAGACATTGACAAGCCGCTCAAGTGTCTCTTTGCTGACCCGACGCTACTTCCGCTCATTCCGGCACCGCTGCGGGCCCGGTTCGCCAAGTCGATGCCCGAAGCCTCGGCTGGGAACGAGACTCCGGGCTCATCTACCGCACCCAGCACGCCGCACTCGCCAGCCCTGAGCTCGGCACCGGGCACGCCGTCGTCCGTCTCGTCGGCCGCGTCGGCGTCGGCGGCCAGTGTCTCTGCATCAGGCGCGTTGACCGCTCCGCTCGGCTTTGGCGAGGTCTCCGACGACTCGCTCGCCGCTCCTGGCGCGGGCGAGGCATCTACAACAGCCGGCGGGTCAGGTGCCGGCGCCAGTGTCAGCGCCAGCTCGGGCCTGGGTCTCGACGATGAGAGCCAGCTAGAGCGGCTGCGCGACCTCGAGCTCCAGTTCCTGGCCGACCTTGTCTCGACTTTTGACGCCCGCAACGACGCCAAGCGGTTCAAGTTCTTCCGCAAAAAGTCGCAGCGGCTCAACTTGCTCCTCCTTCTCATCCCGCAAGTTCAGATGGAGGCCTTTGTATGCAAGCTCATGGACGTGCCGGCGCCAATTACTGGGGCACACGTCGGGGCGCTCACTGACGAGGGCGCGCGCAAGATTGCGTCGATCCTCGACATGATCATCGAGCTCAAGCGTGCGGCCGGGGCCCGGCTCGAGGCCGACCTCATCCTGCTCCGCGGCATGTTTCTGCGGCTGACGCTTCCCGAGGAGGTCGACCCGTCTCGGACAAATCTTGTCGAGCTCATGCGTGCCATCATCAACGCTGTCACCCACTCGGGCCTCCTCGACTCGCTGCCCTGCCTCGTCGAGTGGCTCTCGCGCATCTCGTCCATGGTCGGCGCACCGAGCTTTGACTGGACGCCGCTCGACCTTTCCGAACTTTGCGATGAGATGGACAAGCAGTTTACCTACATCATCGAGTCGGTCGTGCCCGAGCTCGGCGAGCAGTGGTCCAAGATTCAGGACATGGAGTTTGATCCCGGCACGACGCACTCGCTTATCGCCTCGGGCGGGTTCTGGCGCGACATGCCACCCGACTCGCGGCACCTGGAGCCGCTGCTGGAAAACTTGCTCTCACTCCGGCTCCTTGTCTCGGCCACCGTCGTCGAGCTCCACCGGCGGCAGAGCCAGTTCCTCGAATCGTTCTCGCACGTCCGCCGCCTCCGCCAGCTTACCGGCTTCCAGATTGTGACCAATACGGTAGCGGCGCTTGGCTTTGTCACTGACGACGTTGACGTCTTTGGCGACGACACCCTCGCCGAGCTCATGCAGCAGATTTGGCGCGAGCGCCAGGTCCTCCGCGCCCAAGATAAGGGCTCGCTCGACCTTGCCGTCAACTTTGCCGAGACCGGGACAAACCTCAAGAAGATCAAGACCCGCAAGGGCATGCTCCTCCGCGCACTCTCGCGGTTCGCGGCCGACCCGCACGACCCGAGCTCACTCGACGAGCTGCTGCAGATCCGCGACGCCTGGTCGCGCGCCGCCGACCAGGCGCTCACCATCAAGGAGACGCTCGAGATGGTTCGTGACGAAAAGGCCGAGTGGCACGACGAGCTCTCGCTCACCCGCGCCGACCTCAACGCCCGCATCGCCGACTACCACGCGCTCATCGAGTCGCTCGATCGCGACGTCGTCAACCTTAATGCCCGCCTCGCGCTAGCCACTGTCCACGGCTTCCGCGCCGCCGTCCTCGACCACCTCGAGTCGTTGGTCCTGGCCGCAGGCTCCGAGACGGCCGCCGAACCATTGCTCGAACTCATGCAGGCGACCGAAGCGCTTCTGGACGAGGCCACCGCCTTTTCAACCGTAGACGCAGCCGCGAGCTCGAGCTCAGGCCTCTCGCGCACGTCATCGGGTATCGGCCGAGCCTCGGCGTCGACGTCGGCCTCGCTCCTCCGCTCGAGCTTTGAGAGTGAGGTAGCGCGGCGGACACGGTCGTTCATGGCCCGAACACGCTTGCAACGGAGCGTGTCGGCCGAGGCCCGCCTCGCCCAGACCGCCACCGCTAGCTCAACCAGGCCGAGCGAGAGCGAGAGCAGGGCAACTCGGATGCGCCGCAGCCTCCTCACTGTCGACGTTGGCGCGCGAGCTGTTGATTCTGACGACGACCCTGACGACAGCGGTGGCGGAGTGAGCGGCGGCGGCGGTGGCGGGAGTGGCCGAAGCGGGCCGCGCGGCGCGATCATGTCGCCGCTGCGGACGATGATGGACGCCGAGGATGCGGCGTCGGCAGTTGTGCCCGAGTCCTCGTACGCAGCGTCACCGTCGCCGTTTGCGGCGACCTGGTTCCGGGCCGGCGACTCGGGCGTCTCGGACTGGTTCAACCTCACCCGGTTTGGCGTCTCCAAGGCAGCGACGCTTGATGCATTTCGGCTTGTGCGCGCGCTCAAGACGTTGACGACACTTGCGCCACTGCGAGCACTTGGTGGCGCGCCGTCAGCCCTCAGTGCCTTTCGCAACAACGTCAAGGCCTTCACCTTTGCCTTTGTCATGTACGCACAGTTTATGGGCGTGGGCGGGACGCTGGCGTTTGCGCGCGAGTCGCGTGCGCTGTGGCTTTCTGGTGGACGCGGGGCGGAGCTGGCAGAGTCGATCCACCCGGACCTGTTTGGGTTTTGCGCCGAGTACTTTGCGCGCATCGAGGTTCTTCGCGCGCTGTCGTGGCGGTGGTGGAAGGGCTTTTCGTGCGTGCGTGTCTCGGCGCGGGTCGAGCGTGCGCGGGCCGAGCTCGCCGCCGTCCACGCCGACGTCCAGGCGCTCGAAGTCCAGCGCGGATCGACGCATGAGGCGCTCGGCGAGCTCAAGTTCTTCCTCTCGTCGTCGTTCACCTTTGCGGCCGAGGAGTCTGACGCGGCCGCAAGTCAGTTCAGGGCACGAATCAAGGACATTGTAGCGACGGTTCTTCCCGTCCTCGTCCTTGCGGCGCCTTCGCTGACTGGGTCGTACCGGGCGCCGCTAGCGACCCACGACACGCGTCAAGTCCAGCTCGCCGAGCGGGCAGCGTGGCTCAAGATGCAGTTTGCGGCGATTGACACGTCGCCACAGGCAGCCGACGCGCTCTTTGCCTCGCGCGAGACAGTGCTGAAAGCGCTCTCCGAGTCGGTTCCGGTCCTTGCCGGGCTTGTTGCGGAGGACGATGCCGACATTGCGGCGCTGCGGCGGCTGCGGTTCTACCTCGAGGGACTGGCGACGACGTTTGCCAACCCGGACGAGTCGCTCGACTCGGCGCTCGAGGACGCGCTGTCTGTGTATGCGAGGCGGGTGGCTGTCGACGAGGAACTGCTGCGCGAGCCTGCGTGGCCGCTTGCCTCGCCGGCGCTATCCGGCGAGTGGGGCGTTGGCGGTGCCCTTGATGCATGGGGTGAGACGACGCCGAGCTCGCTGCTCGACGACGCGCGAAGCGCCCTTGTCCGTGCCTTGGACGGAATTCTCGCCAAGCACGACAACGCGACGGCAACGCCGCTGGTGCGGTCGCAGATCCTGCTCAGCTTGCTTAATCCACTCGAGGCGTATGTGCTTAACGCAGGGAGCCTCTCGGTGGCTCACCAGCTCGCGCTGCTCAAGGCAGTGCTCGACGGGGTGGCGTCGGTGGTGGAAGCGCTCTCCGACTCGAAGCGGTTTGCGCTCAAGTTTGGTTCGCTCTACCCGATCCTGCTCAAGATCCGTCATATTGTGTCGACGGTGTATGTGAGCGTGTGGCGCGACTGGCGGTACGCCGACGAACTCGGCGAGGGTCTCGGGCGCGACATGTGCACCCGCCCGGTGGCGCCGCACGAGCCGACGCCCGCAGTCACCACGCTGCAGCTCATGCGGTCACTGGTCCTCGAAGCCCACGAGCTTATTATGCTCAAGCGGTCGGTGGCGCAGATCCAGACCGCGCTCCTCCCGCTCAAGCACATGTTCCCAGGTGGGGCGGGCGCGAGCGGGAGCGGCGGCGGCGACGACGGCGGCTCGACGTCGTCGTCGAACCCAACCACGCCGGTGGCGAGCGGCGAGGCCGGGCTTGCAGAGGCAGCCGCGCATAATCGGGCGCTGGTGGCACAGGTTGAGAATCTCGTGGCTCACCTCCGACCGCCAAACGTGGTCGTGGTCGAAGCTGAGGCTGAGGGCTCGATGCTTGCAGGCTTCAACGAGCTCTACGACGTCATTGTGCGGGTCAACGAGCTCGCGGGCGCGCTAGTCTCGCGACCGTCGGACCCCGCAGCCGACGAGTACTTTAACCTCCTCGTTGTCTGCCTTGCCAACATCCGCGACAATTTTGAAGAGTACGTCGACGACACGCGGCGGATGATTCGCAGCTACGCGGCGCTGCGGCTGCCGCGGTACCGAGCGTCGCTCAAGTGCGCGACACTGGGCGCGCGTCTCATCCGACGCAGCTTTGCCCTCATGATTGTGCCGCTTGGCGGGCTGTCGTCGTCGGCGCCAAGCAGCCCGTCCAAGCCACCACCCGGATCGCCGCGACGCGGGCCTGAGACTGACGCGTCGATGGGCACCGGGCTCGACTCGCCGCGTCGGCGGAGTCATGGGGTGCTTGCCTCTCTCGCGTCATTCTCGCTCTCGCCTACCAAGCTTGTGGACCTGCGCGGGCTTGCAGGCGTCTTTGACCCCGCGCCGCGGTTTGTGGTCCACGAGTCGCTGCGGTACAAGGTAGCACCTGAAGCACCCGGCGTCGAGTTTGCGGTTGCGCAGCTGGCATCGCTTTTGGAAGCCGGCCTTGCAGGTGAAGCCGGCCTGGATGGCCACGGTTGGCAGGAGATGCTGCTTGGCGGCGGGATTGTGCCGTACGAGGTGTTCCGCATCTCAAACGGGCTGGACGCCGACGCGGTGCTTGTCTCGCCGCTGCCGCGCGGGGTGGCGCTGACGCGGATGCTTGAAGTCGATCCGTTCTGCCTTGCTGGGCTGGAGATGGAGGCGTTTGGAGTGGTGCTGACCAACGCGCTGCTGGCCAACCACGGTGCGGCCGGCCCACCCAACTACGTGGTCAGCTTCAGCGACGGGGTGCGTGTCGGGAGCGGTAGTCCGTACGATGGGCTGGGGCTCTCGCTCATTCCGACCAACGTGGCCGACGCGCTTGTGGACCCGATTGTGCGGGTGTACTCTGGCGACGGCAGCTGCGTCCAGGCTGTGGCCTCCTTTGACCTCGTCTTTGTACTGCCACACATGCGGCGGCCGCTGGCGGAGACCACGCTCATGTCGCTGGCGGCGCTGCCGACCGAGCTGTTTGTGGGCGCGTGGCTCAAGGCGCTGCAGGACTCGCCGTGCGCGTCGGGCATGGACACGAGTGTGGACATTGCCGACGGGTCTGGGTGCGGCGGCGAGGCTGGCGAAGCCGGCTGGTCGGCCGAGTCTGGGCCGGGCCATGGTGTGTTCACCGACGCCAAGCTCCACGCCATGGGCCTCCCTCTTAAGCTTGTGAAAGGCACGCCGGTGCTGATGTATCGGCGGCTGAAGGCGATACAAGCCGTGGCCGAGGAGGTGCTTGCCGGCGATCGCGAGCAAGTGACCGGCGAGGAGCTGCTGACGACAATGTACCCGCTGCTTGGGCGCGTATACTCTGCGGCGCTCGACGCCGGCGAGGACGAGGCTTGCAGAGCGTTTGACGATGCTGCAGGTTACAGCGAGCTCAACTTTGCCGCGGCAGTGACGGGCGCATCGCTGGCGCTTGAAAGTGCTCGTGCGTTGCCGGAGCAGTGGGCGGACGACGGTGAGGACTTTGGCGATGGCGCGGGGCCAGTGCTGTGGCGGCGCAACATGGTGGCGTCCGACTACGAGCTCGATCGCGTGCAGGACGTGGAGCGGGCGGCGGAGGACCTCATGGGCGAAGTCACGTTCTCGGATCTGGCTGTCGGACCCGGGGCCGCATCGCGCGAGGCTGCGTACTGGGAGTGGGTCAAAACCAACCGCGCGATGCGACGGCTGAGCCTGCGACAGACGAGGAGCATCGACGGTGACGAGGTGGTCCGATTGGCAAACGACAGGCGCTACGCCGGGCTCCGCGAGATTTTCCTCGACGGGAATGCCGAGGTCCGGCTCGGGGCGGTGCAAGCGCTGTTGCGACCGCCTGTGCACGCAACGCCGAATCGAGTGGTGCGCCTGAGCGTGCGGCCGCCGCTGGGCCGCGAGCATGGGCAGAGCTGGTGCGCGAGCTGGCGGTGAGCGGCGAGAGTGGACGGTTCGAGCTTGTGCTCAACGACGGATCGCACTTTGAGTTTTCAACAACACCGGACAGCGCGCTGCTCGAATGGAGTGATCTCGTCGAGCTGGTGCGAGCGCTTGTGCGTGTTCGTGACGCTGAGGGCCTGGGCTTTGTACTGGGCGAAATGGCATTGGTGGCGGGAAGCCGGGCTGATCTGGAAGCATTTGTCAACACACGCGTGTCGACGTCGTCCAGAGCAGTGGCAGCGACAGCGCTGCTAATGGCTGTCGAAGCACAGGATCTTGCACTGGTCACGCTGCTGCTGGAGCATGGAGCCAACGTCGACGACGTTGACTCTGAACAATCACGGCGGTCTGCGCTGCACCTGGCGTGCCTTCACGCTGGACCCGAGCTTGTGGCCGAGCTCCTAGCATGGGGCGCTAACCCGCGGAGCGTGGACGTCAACGGCAAGAGCCCACTGCACTACTCTGCCGAGTACGACCGGGCGAGCGTTGTCCCGCTTCTGCTACTGTACGATGCATGGCGCGGGCGGAGCGAGGGCGGGTGGCCAACTCGGGTGGCTGAAGTGGAGGCCGCGCTCGAGGCCGTGTCGGTGGTGCCCAACCGGGAGACCGGGAGTGGAAGTCTGCGGTACGAATGCTATGTGGCACGAAGCGAGGGTTGCGACGCCAGCGAGGCCTTGGCACGACAGCAGGCGTACACTGACATGGCGGAGGCGACCGACGTACGGTGCGCACTGCACTATGCGTGTTCGTCCGGCGTAGTGGACTCGGAGCGGTGCGAGCTTGTGGCACTGCTGCTGGGCGCCGGTGCCGACCCGGACGTGTCGAACCCAGATGGGTGGACGGCACTGCACTGGGCAGCTCGGGCTGGGCGTGCGCCGGTCGTACAAGCACTCCTGGACGCGGGCGCCAACGCGAGCGCGGCAACGCTGCAGGGTCGGACGCCGCTGGACGAAGCAGTAGAGTTTGGCCACTCGCGGGTGGTGCGTCTGCTGCTGACCGGCCGCGACGACGGGAGCGAGGGCGAGCCAGAGGCCGTGATCGATCCGCTAGTGCGACTGGCCCGGCCGTCTTGCTCGCACGCGCTTGTCAGTGTTCGCGAGCGGGCACTAGCATGCGTCCGGGTGGGTGGCCTGCTCGAGGCGAGCAAGGCACACAGTAGCGCGGTGGTGTGCTACCAGGCTGGGGCAGCGCTCGTCGGCATTATGGCGGAAGGCGGCGACGCACCGGCTGACGTTCTGCGCGAGTACGTTGTGTCGAGGGCCAAGGCAGCCGAGAGCACTGCGCTGCGGGAGCGGGCCGTGATGTCGGGCGACTCCGTGCGGGATTGGCTCGTGCGGCTCCGGAATGAGCTGGTGGAAAGCAGCGACATCGAAGAGTACTCTGCCGGACTGCGCGAGTTTTTGTCGGTGCTTGTGGCATCGTGGGTGGAGAGCGGGGGCGAGCCGCCTGTGATGGACGTGGTGGTGCGCGGGGATGTTGCACGCGGCGAGGCTGGTGCCGGCGCCACGCTCGAGTTGGGCGTTCTTGTTGCTGACGAGAGCGAAGAGGCCGTGGCGTATGCATCAGCGCTTCTCGAAGGGATTCGCGGCCAGATTGCGGCATCAGGCGAGTGCGTCGGCGTTCTCGGAGCCGAGCTTGCTCTGGAGAGTGGTCGATCCGGGGTTGGGTGCGCGGGAGTGCGCACTGACGTGGGCGTGGCAACGGTTAAGGGCGCGTTGGAGGCGGTTAAGCGGGCAGAGAAGCGAGGGATCGGTGTGGCCGAGCTTGTGCTGCACCTTCGGAGCAGCAAAGCTGTGTACGTTGTGGGCGGGAGCGACGGCAAGTTTGTCAACCTCACATCCGAGCTCCGCACCGCGCTGGAGAAGCACCTGTCGTCGTCGTCGATGTGGAAGCTGTCGCTTGGGACGAAGCCGCGCGTGCGGGTGGCACAGAGCGCGATGGCGTGTGCGATCGGGTGCGTGGTGCCACCGGGCGGGGGGGATAGTTGGCAGAACGTGTGGCGGGTTCCGCGACTTGTGGTCGATGCGCTGGCGGTGTACCACGGGGTGACTTCGGAGGCGCAGCACTTTCGGTCGCAGCTCGCCGAGCTTGCGGCTGGCGGAGCTGTGGCCGGCGAGACTGCCGAGCAGTGGAAGGAGTACTTTGTGACGGCAAGCCGATGGGCGACGGCAGCCGCAGCCGGGCGTGCTGACGCGCGCGTGACCGATTGGCTTGGCGAGCGGGCACGGAATTGGGTTGACACGGCGATGGCGTGGCTGGCCAACGGCGAGCTGCAAGGGTCCGAGGTGGCGACGTTTGTGGCAGAGCCGTGGCGCGGCATGACTGTGGGCATTATCGATTTGGAGCCGATTGTGGCGTTTCCGCGAGCAGGAGTGATGGCCGAGATTGCGCGGGGGTCGTCTGGGGCAACATCGATGCACGCACTGGGCCTGTCAGCGCGAGCGGTTGCCGAGGCGTATGCCTCGGGCGACTTTTCCGGGGCGCGGTCGCTGGCCAAGTTTGTGCGGCCGTTTGGACAGAGCTCACTGTGGGAGGCATCGATGGGGGTGCTGTTGGTACTTCTGGCGTCGTCGACCGGGCAGTGGTCGCGTGCTCTGGAAGCGCACGCGGAGTGCATCGCGTGTCTGGATGCAATGGACGCGCTGATGAAGCGGGCAAGCACAGCGTCGCTGGCGCTGCGGGCGCAGGTCGAAGCGGTTTGCGCGCTGGTGTGTCGCTCTGCCGGCGACGCGGCTGCCAGCGAGGCGGCCGGACTGCGGATGGCAGACGCCGTGGCGCGACAAAACTGCAGCTCCAGCAGCAGTCTCCTCGTCCTGCCATCTGCTGTGGCGGCGCGATGCACGCGGCGCGAAGTCTTCGAGTGCGTTGCACAGTATGCGTCAGGAATGCCGCCGATCTGTCGCCGCGCCATGGACCGGGTGTGGGGCGGAGAGGCCGATGCCGAAGTCAGCAGCGAGGCGTCCGGGCGGAGGCTGTTCCCGGTGGGGCATGCGCTCGCTGAGGTGTAAACGGGAGCAGTGGGGGTGAGAGGGAGGGGGAGGGGCCACTTGGCTCACTTCAGCAGGAGAGAAACATGGCAGCCGAGGCAGACACACTGGCGGCATTGCTTGCCGGGGATGCCAGTGCGGTGATGGTGAACATTGAGGAGCGGGTCAAGGTGAAGAAGGCTATTGGGTCATATGTGGTATGTGTGTGGGGGTGTGTGTGTGGGGGAGAGGGACTGACGTGTGACATCTGCATACATGTGTGGGTGTGGGTGTGTGGGTGTGGGTGGGTATGGGTGTGTGGGTGTGTGGGTGTGTGGGTGTGGGGGTGCTCGGCGTCTGTGGCGGGTGGGGGGTGCTCGGCGTCTGTGGCCGACAACAGGTCTATCGCATCAGAGTCTGTAGGGGCGACGGGAGCGAGTGGTTTGTGGAGCGGCGATACTCGGAGCTGCTGGCGCTGCACAAGGGGCTGAGGGCAAAGTACACCTTTGTGTCGGTCAAGGTGCCCAAGGACACCAACAAGGCACTCAACGCGGTACTGATGGCAGAGTTGCGGGCGGTGGCGGCGATGCGCGGGCGAGGAAAGCGCAGCGTCGGCGGGCGTGGGTCGGCAGCCGACATGGTGGCGCTCTCGGCGCGGAAGCGGGTCGAGGCCGAGCTGGGCGAGGCCAAGGGCGCCGACGGGGTGGCGCTGGCGTCGACGACCGAGAACCTGTTTGCGCTCTTTCCGCCCAAGTCGGTCTCGCCGGACCTCGACGCGCGGCAGCACGGGCTCAACGCGTACATCCAGTTTGTGATGGCGAACCCGAGCCTGCGCGACGAGCCCGACGTGCGGACGATGTTCGCGCTGCACGACGGCGGCGTCGACGGTGGCGTCGCCATCGCGCTCGACGCCGGGCGCGCAGACTCGGCAGCGTCGTCAGACACGCTCGCATCGCCGCGGCTGGTCGGCTCGCCGTCGTCGTCCGAGTACATGTCTGTGCCGGCAAGTTCCAAGCTGCAGGTGGCATCGTCGGTTGGCGCCACGGCGGTCGAGGTCGGTGCGCTCCAGGTCCCGACAGTCCGGCTCGACGACTCGGGCAAGTACCACGTCTACGAGATCCATCTCTACCGCGAGACCGACATCCTTGATGCGGCTGCTCAGCCGTACGCTGTTCTCCTCCGGCGCTACTCGCAGTTCTTGCAGCTCCACCGCGAGCTTGGTACCGAGTTTGACCGCTCGTCGTCGCTCACCTTTATGATCGACTTTCCGCCCAAGTCAGGCATGAAAAAGCCGTCTGATGCCGAGCTAGAGACGCGCCGAGCGTACTTTGAGGCACTGCTAGTCGGCGCTGTTGGCCATCCACTCATGTCGCGGTCGGCGACGCTTATCGAGTTCCTCGCCGTCGACTCTCAGGTCCATTCAAACCTTGACCTGTTCGCCACGGTTACGGCGTCGTGAGCCGCCAAGGGCCACGGCTCGCGCCTAGCGTCACAGCTCGCGCGAGAGCTCGATGTACTTGGAGAGATACGTCTTGCGGGTGCTCAAATCGCCGGCGTAGGGATACGAGGCCGCAGCGGTCGAGGCGCCGGCGTAGCCCGAGGCCGACGCTGACGAGGCAAACGTGGTGTGCCTACCCGGAGTCGGGTCGAGGTACGACGCCGCCGCCGGACGCTGCGAGTACGGCACATTCGGCTCGGTCGCCGGCATGTAGGCCGCAAGCGTCGGGGCGCGGGCGGCGAGCTCTGGTGACGGCGAACGCGCCGGCGAGGTGCGCGCCGGCAGGCCGTATGCATCGGTGTGGCGCTGATAAAGTGAAGTGTTGTCTTGCGGGAGTCCGAGCGAGGCCGTCAGCGGCGTGCGCGGCGGAAAGAGGCCAACGTCGTCCGACTGCGTCGGCGGGCGAGAGATCGAGAGCGAGCCCTGGGTGTACGGATGGCTCACAAGCGTGTTTGGCAGCTGCTGCGGCTGCAGCGAGCTGCGCTCTGGCGACGAGTGCTCGTCGGCGTGGTATGGCGGCCGAGGAAAGAGCGACGGCTCCAGGATTGAGTCCAGCGACATGTGCAGATGCTGGAGGAGCGGCTCGCGCGCCGCCCGCATGCCCGAGAACGCCTGAGTGATGAGCGAGGCCGTCGACTCCTTGTCGACCGCCCCCAGCGAGTTCTTGACAACAAACGAGACTGGCGCCGTGTTCTCGTCAAGCTCATCGAGCTCGTCGTAGTACGAATACTCGTGCAAATCGTCGGGGCTGTCGCCAACGTTGTGATGAGCACCAGGCTCGGCGTCGTCCTCGCCCTTCCCGGCGTCGACCAGCACCGGCTCGTACTCGTACTCGTACTCGAACTCTTCGGGCACGTCGTCGTCGCCGGTCGGCTCATGCTCGCCGCTCGTCGAGTCGGCGACCGGAGGGTCATCGGCAGCATCGATGTCTGTGGCGTCCGAGGGCTCGCTCGGCTCGGCCTCGGCGGGCTCGCTCGGGGTCCGGCCCTCGGCGCGGTCGCGGAGATGAGCCTTGACCGCGTCGACGTCGTCGATGATGTCGAGCGGGATGTCGTCGAGCGGATTGTCGTTGAGGACTAGCCACGAGAGCGCGGTGCAGTAGCCAAGCTCGTTGGGGATGTCTTCGAGGGCGTTACCGTCGAGCTCGAGCGAGGAGAGCGAGGCGATGGAGGCCAGCGCCGGGTCGATGTCGTTGATGGCGTTGCGGCCAAGCTTCAGCTGCTTGAGACGCGGCGCGTTGCCGAGCGAGGCCGGAACAAGAGTGATGGCGTTGTGGGAGAGATCCAGCGAGGTGAGCGCCGGCATCTTGGAGACCACCGTCGGGACGGCGCGGAGCTTGTTGTGCGAGAGATCGAGCTTGGCGAGCGAGGCCGCTGACGCAAGCGAGGCAAACGAGGTCAGCGCGTTGTGGCCCAGCCGCAAGTTGGTCAGCCTGTCCCAAGTTGCGATCGACGGGAACTTGGACAACTTGTTCGAGCTCACATCCAGCTCGACGAGAGCCGTCAGGTCCTTGATCGAGTTGGGCAAGTGCGTCAGGGCGTTGTTGGCCAGGTTAAGTCGGGTCACTCCGGCCAGCTTGCTCGTCTTCTCATCATCAAGCTCGCCTGGAAGGAGCAGGAGGAGGTGAGTGTGAGTATATGCGCAAGAAGGTCCAAGGATGTGCGGCATGACATCGATGGCGGCCGAAGGCGGCCGATGGTGGCTGGTGGCGGTCGCCTTGGCCAGGTCACGTACCGAGCTCGCAGCCGTCGATGCGGACCTCTGTCAGCTTGTCAGCCAGTTTGTAGAACTTGGACGGGAGGTGACCATCTGGTAGCGGCTCATGTACAAGGAGGAAGACGCCCGAGTCCTTTGCTCCGCTCACGGCTTCCTTGACCGGCTTGCTCACCTTGCCTCCCATGTCGCCAACGGTCGATCGAGTGAGGTTTGGTCGGTTGGCGGGCGGGCGGGCGGGCGGGCGGGCGGGCGGGCGGGGCGGCCAACCAACGACGGGTGGTGGCTGGTAGGACCGGAAAACTGGCACCACGATGGAGATGATCACGATGGGTTGAATGGTGAGCGGGTGGGCGGGTGTGTGTCTAGGGGGGGGGGGATGTGGATGGATGTGTGTGTTTGTTGGTTCAGACAGAGGTGATTACTACTTCTTGCCCTTCTTGCTCCCGTTCTTGCCCGCCTTGCGAGCAGCGCGGCGCTGTGCGCGCTCAGCCTGGCGCCGCCGCTTCTCGGAGCGCTTGACGCGGACCATCCGCTTGACCTTCTGCTCGCCGGAGGGAAGAGTGATGACCTCGATCTTCTCCTTGGGCGGCTTGTTCTTCTTCTTGGCCTTCTTGGACTTGGCCTTCTTGGACGTGAGCGTCTTCTTGGTCGTCTTTCCGGTCTTGGGGTCGACCGTCTTCTTGGTCGTCGTCGTCGTTACAGTCGTTGTCGTCGTCTTCTTGGCCTTGGCCTTGGACGCTGACGCCGGCGCCGGCGCTGCCGCCACCTTTTTCTTTGACCGCTTCTTGCGGCGCTTCTTGGATTTGGTGGAGTCGGTAGCCGCCGTGGACGCGCCATCGTCGGTCTTACGGCGGCGCTTCTTCTTGGACGACTTCTTCTTGCGACGCTTCTTCGACGTAGTGACGGTGGTGGTGGTGGTGGCGGCGGAGGAGGCGCCGTCGTCGGCAGACTTGCGGCGGCGCTTCTTCTTGGACACCGTCTTCTTGCGGCGCTTCTTGGACGACTTTTCTTGCGGCGCTTCTTCGACGTAGTGACGGTGGTTGTGGTGGTGGCGGCGGAGGAGGCGCCGCCGTCAACAGACTTGCGGCGGCGCTTCTTCTTGGACGACTTCTTCTTGCGCCGCTTCTTGGATGTGGACGTGGTGGTAGTGGTGGTGGTGGTGGCAGTGGCAGAGGAAGCGCCGGCGTCGGCCGGCTCGCTAACGCGCTTCTTGGAGCGCTTCTTGGAGCGCTTCTTCTTTTTCGACGTCTTGGCCGCCGAGCTCGAGTCCGAGCCGTCGGCTGGCGGCGGGGCGGACTTGTCGACAGCCTCCTTGGTGGTGGTGACGGTGGTGATGACCCGGCGCTGCTTCTTCTTCTTAGCCTTGGCTTTCTTGGACTTGGACTTGGACTTGGACTTGGCCTTGACCGAGTCAGGGCTCGGCGCAAAGTTGTGGTTGTGATCAGGCGAGCCATCGCCGCAGTGCGGGCACGAGGCGATGTGCGAGGCCGAGCGGAGCGTGCGCATGTCGTCGAACGAGGCCGAGTCCTCGGCATCCCACACGTGGCCCTTGATTGAGAGCGGAAGCAGGTCGGTGAGTGCCTCGGCAATGTCCAGAAAGTCCTCGACGTCGTCCTCGTCGCCCTCCTCGAGCAACTCGTGGTAGCAGAGGGTGTCGTTGACGGTGTGGAGCTTGTCGAACAGAGTCGACGTCAGCTTGGCCACAGCCTTCTTCTCATCGAGGCTGAGCAAAAAGTCCGAGCCGTCGACCGTAGTGATCTTGCCCTGCCGCTTCGTCCCGCGCGCCTTGGGTGCGTCCCGGGCGAGCTGTCCAGGCACAAACGCCTCGATCCGCTTAAACGACGCTAGCACCGAGCCAAGCAGCTCGCGGACAGCCTTGCGCGAGAGATGCCGCGAGCCATCCTTGTCATACACCTGCCACAACGACTTGACAATGCCGGACCTCTGTGACTGGGTCAGAATGGCGGCGTACCTACCTCGCCTCATCGCAACATCAAGTGAGTAAGCATGGCGCCGGCCGTTGGCAAAGAGAGAGGGGGGGGGGGGGGGAGGGAGGGAGGAGACGGAGGGGAGGGAGGAGACACACACCCCCCCCCGGGGGGGGGGGAGGAACTCCCCCCCCACCCCCTTTGGGTCCACCCCAGTGTGAAAAGGGCACACAAAAGGGGGAAAAAAGTGGGGGGGAAAAAGGGGGGGGGGGAAATTTAACCCCTCACCAAAAAGCGGAAAAAATTTTCCGAAGAAAACCCTTTTG